GAATTCTCAGCCATATCTGATTCCTCTTCCTCCTCCTCCTCGCTCTCTGCAATTCTCGCCATTTTCCCTGTTTCCGCCGCGTGAAAACAGCTCTGCTGCTCCGGACGGTGCTGAATCGGAGTTTGAGTCTGATTCTGTTGCGGTGGTTGGTCTCCGGCGGTGGTGGTGTGACCGCCGAGATGGCCGCAGCTGTTGTGATAAGCACACATTTCTCTGAAGAAGAGATGTTTAGAATTAAGCAATTTCTTGACTTCGTTTTTCAATTTCGGTGTCAGATGATCCATTGTCTCAAGCAATCCTTGATTCTCAACGACACGACACGCGATTCCTTTACCGAGAATGTCGTTAACTCTCTTGTACCTCTTGTTCAAATCGTTAAACTTGTCTTCGCATTGTTGCGGCGAAACAGAGAAACCTTTCTCCACCATAGCTTTCGACACCGATTTCCACTTCCCTTTCTTCTGCAACATCCCTCCCCCGCTTCCTCCTCCGCCGCTCTTTTTCTTGGTTTCGATTTGATCGCCGAGACCAGCTTCGTCTCCGATGTAGAATACCGCCATGATTAGAAGACGAACCATTGTGTCTGTCCATTTCATTCTATGCCACTGAGAGAATTTCCTCTTCCCGTCGGTTCCCGCGCTGTCTTCTGGGTTGCAACCGGACCCGGAACCTGATCCGCGATCGTCGTCGTTTTCTCCGCCGCTTATAGGTGATAATTGTTTGGGTTTTGAGGGGTAAGGGTAAATGGGTTTCAACGGCGGTTGAGTCTGATTTTCGCCGGTGGGTGGATTTCCAGCGACGGTGTAAGGATGCTGATGTTGGAATTGAACTTTTTGGGGGGGATTCTGCGGCATTTCTAAGCTCAACATCCTCGGACTAAACCCAGAAAACATCACGTTCGATTCCATGGATTCGAAACCTAATTGAAGAAAATTGAAAATTGGCAACGAAGGATAAGTATTCAAAGCGAAATCTCACAAACCCAGGATTCAAAAACTCTCATTTCGAGTTCTAATATAAAGTTTGTTATAGTGTTGTAGAAGAGAATTTGTGGATTGGAGTCAAAGAAAGGATGAGAGAGAGAGAGAGTAAAGTAATAATAATATACACTACAGAGAGAAGCAGAGCAGCTGGTTTTAGGGCTTTAAGGGGGATGAACTGAAAACTGCCCA